TGATGAATTTAAATTTATTGGCTTTGCTGACATACTTAGAGTTAGTTATAGAACATTATTTTGTATCTATATTTAACAAAATTTTCTTAACTTCTTACATTTCCTTCCTTAACCATGTGGAATTTATTAAATTTTCTTTATTTCAATGTATCCTTTATTACTTTGGATGCAGAGCATTTTATCCCTCTTCTTTAGTAAATATTTATTTTTTATTTATATGCATTTTATGACTCACAAAATTACTTCATGTTCCTCTACACTTCCAGCCTGACTTGTAGTTAGATTGGAGCTATTTGAGAACACTAGCTAATGGACAGTGTGAAGTGATTAGTTTCCTTCCAAGATGAGGCAATTAAAAGCCAGCATACCTCTCTTTGTCTGCTACAATTACCTTGCAGGACACATACTCCAAATGCATGGATTCAAGAGACAGGGGAGCTGCTTAACTCTAACTTCCAATAGACTTTGCATAAATTATAAATAAATTCTTATTATTAAGCCACTGATAAAACTGGGGTTCTCTGTAGCATCACTTAACATAAGTTAGTCTGACTAAAATACTTTTGCCAGCAAAGTCTAAATGTAATCATTATCTGACCTTTTTCTAACATTAAAAGAGTTTTCCTTACTTTCCCTAAAAGCACTCTCCCTAAAGTGGAATTCTCCCTAAACGCACCCTCACATATTTCATGTTCTTATAATTATATTACTAGCATTTTATTTTTAATATACTATAATGTTACTTATTAATTTTTTGTTTAATATTTGGTCACTAATACTTATTTAAATTATTCCATATGTTTTAAAATCTTCCTTGCTCACCATTACTGCATTTATATCAGTCCTACTTTGCTTGCCTTACTTTCCTTCTTGCTAATTAAAACTTTTAGCAGTTCTGAAGGAACAAAACAGCAGCAGACTCACAGACTCCAAGAAGGGACTAACAGTTATCAAAGGGAAAGGGTTGCAGAGGGTGGGTAGGGAGGGAGGGAGAAGGGGATTAAGGGGACTTATAATTAGTACTCACAATGTAGGCAGGTCACACAGAAGGTAGTATAGCATAGAGAAAACAATGACTCTATAGCATCTTACTATGCTGATGGACAGTGATTGCAATGCAGTTGGAGGGGACTTGATAATATAGGTGAACGCTGAAACCACAATGTTGCTTATTTTGTATATCAATAATAACAATTTTAAAAAAGCTTGTTAGCAGTTCTTCCAGCATTATTTAGTGAAATTTAAACTTTTATTTCTTGTACATTTTAAATTATCTTTGTTGAATTGAATGACTTAATACATGGACAATATATATAAGTTTTAGAACTAGATCTTCAGTTTTTTAGTCTTTTCTGTGTATTCCACATATGCCTTGAGCTGTAGACAATATATATAAGTTTTAGAACTAGATCTTCAGTTTTTTAGTCTTTTCTGTGTATTCCACATATGCCTTGAGCTGTAGAGGTTTCTATACAGGACAGCATTGGGGTTTCTTTAGCCAGGGCTCCATAAAATTCACTGGATTCAGATCAGTTTGTGAGTGACTCCGTGCTCATCTTTCCGCATTACTTTGGTATTACAACTATTTGGTCCAGGATGCATACACAGCATTGACCATGGATTGTGATTTCAAAAGGATCTATGTGATTCCACTCATATATCAGGGCAACCTGATTTTTTTTTTTTGCTAAATCATCAAACTCTGTGTGTTTTTCACAGTTCTGTGTTTTAGGTGAGAGTAACAAGTACCAGGCCCCCTCTGAGCATGAGGTCTATAGCTCTGGTTTCTCTTAGAACACCAGCCTTTAAGACATAGATCCTTTCTCCTGCAGACCACTTCCTCCCTTACTGTTAATAGCAGTTGATGGTTTCCATTGCAATGACTTGTGCTCCAACATTGTGTGTTCATTGTTTGGTTCTTATTTTTTAAAACATTTTTCATCTAACATTTTAATGTTTTAAAAAAGAAAAGGGGATTCTTCATAAGTTACATATCACTACAGTTAATGTTTCTAGTATTATTTCTCAAAGTTAAAAATCATGAGTTGAATTAATTTCTTAAAATCTACTTCCAGCATTAGTAGCCTAAAATTCTGTTGTTTCTATTATCAAGCCTCCTTAGTGCCTGAAAAGAGATAACAATCTTCAATTACATTCCATCCTCTTTGATTTATCTGTGTAGAAACAATGACATCATCACTAGGATATTTCCAAATAAAGTTTCATTCAAAGACAAGTTACTAACTCTTGAGTGAGAATTTAGGAATTACTCTTGAAGAGGCAGGTACACAAGACTGAGGACTAGCACACATAATGTTTCCTTGTTATTTCCAGGTTCATTTTGTCTGTTACTTTTTTTGCAGTTATTTCCAGGTTTGGTTTCCAGAGAGACAACAGTGAATTTATCAGTAAGTCAAACAAGAAGCTTTAGGAGGCTCCAGTTCTTTTTGGCTGAGGACGAATCTATTGGTGGCTTGTTTGGTCTTTTGTCAATTTTATTTTTATTGCTTACTGTATAACTCTGCCGATCTGGAAAGAACAGACTCTTTAAGTCAGCTCTGAGCCAGCAGGATGAACCTGCTTTCTTTCTTCTACTAAATTTGAGCTAAAAGAAAACTGGGTTCCATTCTCCTTGAATGATCTGACTTTAAAAGAAATCCTTTTACTTAAGGGTATGGTTCCTGCTTCCGTACTTGCCCTGAATCTTCAGTTTCTTTACTAGCTACAAGATGACTGTAAAATATAAAATATCCTCTTGCATAGGACTCTATCTATATTTTTCTCCCAATTTAAGGGAAAAAATGGTGTTATATTAAAAAAATGGATAGATGGATAGGTAGATGGATATCTGCTTTAGTAGAAGACATTTGTCACCCATATAACATGCTTGTGATAGTAGATAAAATGGGAAGGAACTGAGTGTGACAATGATAGAGCATGTTCTAGCTTCAAAGCTTTAAAAAAGAATTATGATTATTCAATTTCATATTATTGTAACTTTTCATTTGATATAGTCTTTCTCTAATTTCTTTATCATGTCCAATGGTAATATAAGCAACTGACCCAGAAGTAGAATTCATAGCTTTAAGAAGTGAAAGCTGGTACTAGCAAATTTCCGCCAATTACAACAACTCTATAAGCACTGCAGTTTCACCATCATTTTATTTTATATCTGTCCTTTCATTCTTTCCCACATATCTTTGCTTGCATTCTTATTTTCCTTTCTTTTCTAAACAGAACTACAAACATTTACTCAACAACAACAAAACCCTCAAAGAAAAGACTGCCAAAATCACTGTCAGAATTCCATATTATTGCAAAAGTTCAATAGCTTTGTTAGTTCCTCTGCTGGAAGCAGTCTGAAATAGGCAGACAGAAATTTTAGTTTGTAATGAACAGTGTGTCATAGTGAGAAGTGAAAAGCCATTTTGTTTTAGGCAAAAGGAAGTTGCTCTGAAATGTTGAAAGAGTCACTTATCAGACTCTCAGTTTCTAGCAAACAGCATGCTGCAGGTCTATATAAAACACTTAGAATTCAATGCCTTGTCTTCAAACATATGTGCTGCAGTTAAAGCCTATTGCTCCTCTCTAGTACAGAATATTGGTGGGGGTAAAGTACCATTCCTCAGGAGTAAAGCAGGAAATACAGTTGGTGGAAAGCAAACTTTCATAGGCAGAAAGTTCAAAAAACAATAAATGTCAGAAGATGCAAGAATTGTGATTTTTTTATTTATCCAACTGCCTCAGCATATGTGTAGATTAATTTAATTATCATATTCTAGGATGTATGGATTTCAGTGAAGTTACATAATAGTAACCTAGATCAGTTGTAGTACAGGGCATGGTAGGAAATAGAATTGTATGCTATTAGATATCCTGCCCAAACCCCACTCACATGAAACCTGTTTTATTTTATTTTTTAATGTTTTTAGCTTCTCTTGACAGAGTGAATCATTTCCTCCAGTGTACTACTCTAATAATTTTTGATTAATGTCTACAAGTATTTTCATTTCACTTTAATTTTTTTTTAAACTGTGTTCGTATAAAACTTAAAAAGTCAGTTGTCCTTGTCTCTCCAGCAAAGGAAAACAAAAAACAAAAATAAGCAAATGGGACTATATCATTCTAAAAAGCATCTTCACAGCTATGAAACCATCATCAACAAAATGAAAAGACAACCTACTTTATGGGAGAATATATTTGCAAACAATATATCTGATAAGGGGCTAATATCCAAATATATAAAAAACTCACACAACTTAACACCAAAAAAAACCCCCAAATAATCCAATTTAAAAATGGAGAAAGGACCTGAATAGACATTTTCAAATAAGACATACAGATGGCCAACAGACATGAAGAAATGCTCAATCTCACTAATCATCAAGGAAATGCAAATAAAAACTACAATGAGGAAGGAGGTGATGTCAGGATGGCGGCATGAGTAGAGCAGCAGAAATCTACTCCCAAAACCATATATAGTTTTGAGAATACAACAAACACAACTATTCCTAGAAGAGAGACCAGAAGACAAATGACAACAGCCAGACAACATCCACACCTGCGAGAACCCAGTGCCTCAGAAAGGGGGCAAAATACAAGCTGTGGCCTGGCGGGACCCAAGCGCCACTCACCCCAGCTCCTGGCGGGAGGAGAGGAGTCAGAGCTGGGAAGGAGAGGGAAACCAGGACTGCTAAATACCCAGCCCTAGCCATCCGCACCAGAGCACAGACACACTGTGCGTGCGTGGGGTGCTGGAAACTAGGGAAACAGGATAATAAGACCTGTGAGTGGGTCCTCACAGCCAGCGCCCCTGGGACATAGAAAAGAGAGTGTCTTTAGAAAGTCCTAAAGGGACAGGGACCCCACAGCTGGATGGAAGTGCCCCGGCACAATCAGCTCAGCAGATGGGAACCCAGGGAACTCTGGGTGCCCTAACTCCCAGGGCAGCAGCACAGCTCTGAGGCCCCTCATGGCTATAAACAGCCTCCCACCCGTTCTCACTCCAGCGTGACCTTGCCATAGAGGAGCCCACAGCGCAGAGCTTCCTTCACAGAGTCAGGACAAGAATCAGAGACACCATCTGCGTGCAGCTGCCCATCACAAGCCGCTAGAGGTCACAGTTCCCCCAGGAAAGGAAGAACTAGAAAGAAAGAAACTAGAAAGAAGGGACGTTCTCCCAGCTGACACATGCCAACTACCCACGACTATCTCTATCACCATGAAAAGGCAGAAGAATTTGATACAGACCAGATTAACCCAGAAAGTCTCCCCTGAAAAGGAATCTGGTGAGATAGACCTAACCAAACTTCCCGAAAAAGAATTTAAAAGTAAGGTCATAACTATGCTGATGGACTTGCAGAGAAATATACAAGAGCTAAGGACGGATAATACAGAAATAAAATAATATCTGGAAGGATTTAAAAGCAGAATGGATGAGATGCAAGAGGCCATTCATGGATTAGAAACCAGAGAACAGGAACGCATAGAAGCTGATGCAGAGAGAGATAAAAGGATCTCCAGGATTGAAGCAACATTAAGAGAGCTGTGTGACTAATCCAAAAGGAGTAATATCCACATTATAGGGGTACCAGAAGAAGAATAAGAGAGATAAAGGGATAGAAAGTGTATTTGAAGAAATAATTGCTGAGAACTTCCCCAAAATGGGGGAGGAAATAATTGATCAGACCACAGAAATACACAGAACCCCCAACAGAAGGGACCTAAAGAGGACAACACCAAGACACATAATATTTAAAATGGCAAAGCTCAAGGACAAGGACATAATTTTAAAGGCAGCTAGAGAGAAGAAAAAGGTCACCTACAAAGGAAAACCCATCGGCTATCATCAGACTTCTCAACAGAAACCTTACAGGCCAGAAGAGAATGGCATGATACATTTAATGAAATGAAAGAGAAGGCCCTTGAACCAAGAATACTGTATCTAGCATGATTATCATTTAAATATGGAGGAGGGATAAAACAATTCCCAGACAAGCAAAAGTTGAGGGAATTTGCCTTCCACAAAACACCTCTACAGGGTATTTTAGAGGGACTGCTCTAGATTGGAGCACTCCTAAGGCTAAATAGATGTCACCACAGAAAATAAAATCACAGCAAAGAAAGCAGAGCAATCAAATACAAACTAAAGGCAAAAAATTAAATCAACTACCCACAAAAGCAGTCAAAGAAAACACAAAAGAGCACAGAATAAAACACCCAACATATAAAGAACGGAGGAGGAGGAATAAGAAGGGAGAGAAATAAAGAATCACCAGACAGTGTTTATAATATCTCAATAAGCAAGTTATATTAGACAGAAAGACATTCAAGAAGCTAACCTTGAACCTTTGGTAACCACAAATCTAAAGCCTGCAATGGCAATAAGTACATATCTTTCAGTAATCACCCTAAATGTAAATGGACTGAATGCACCACTCAAAAGACACAGAGTAATAGAATGGATAAAAAAGCAAGACCCATCCATGTGCTGCTTACAAGAGACTCACCTCAAACCAAAAGACATGCACAGACTAAAAGTTAAGGAATGGAAAAACATATTTCAGGCAAACAACAGAGAGAAAAAAGCAGGTGATGCAGTACTAATATCAGACAAAATAGACTTCTAAACAAAGAAAGTAATAAGAGATAAAGAAGGACATTACATAATGATAAGGGGGTCAGTCCAACAAGAGGATATAACCATTATAAATATATATGCACCCAACACAGGAGCACCTGCATACGTGAAACAAATATTAACAGAATTAAAGGAGAAAATAGAAGCACTCATTTTAGGAGACTTCAACACACCACTCACTCCGAAGGATAGATCCACCAGACAGATAATTAGTAAGGACACAGAGGCACTGAACAACATACTAGAACTGATGGGCCTAATAGACATCTATAGAACTCTACATCCAAAAGTAACAGGATACATATTCTTCTCAAGTGCACATGGAACATTTTCCAGAATAGACCATATACTGCACCACAAAGAGAGCCTCAGTAAATTCCAAAAGATTGAAATTCTACCAACCAACTTTTCAGACCACAAGGGCATGAAACTAGAAATAAATTGTACAAAGAAAGCAAAAAGACTCACAAACACATGGAAGCTTAACAGCATGCTTCTAAATAATAAATGGATCAATGACCAAATTAAAATAGAGATCAAGCAATATATGGAAACAAAAGACAACAACAAGACAAAGCCCCAATTTCTGTGAGACGCAGCAAAAGCAGTCTTAAGAGGAAAGTATATAGCAATCCAGGTATATTTAATGAAGGAAGAACAATCCCAAATGAATAGTCTAATGTCACAATTATTGAAATTGGAAAAAGAAGAACAAATGAGACCTAAAGTCAGCAGAAGGAGGGACATAATAAAGATCAGAGAAGAAACGAACAAAATTGAGAAGAATAAAACAATAGAAAAAATCAATGAAACCAAGAGCTGGTTCTTTGAGAAAATAAACAAAATAGATAAGCCTCTAGCCAGACTTATTAAGAAAAAAAGAGAATCAACACACATCAACAGAATCAGAAATGAGAAAGGAAAAATCATGACTGACCCCACAGAAATACAAAGAATTATTAGAGACTACTATGAAAACCTAAATGCTAACAAGCTGGGAAACCTAGAAGAAATGGACAACTTCCTAGAAAAATACAACCTTCCCAGACTGACCAAGGAAGAAACACAAAATCTAAACAAACCAATTACCAGCAAAGAAATTGAAGTGGTAATCAAAAACTACCCAAGAACAAAACCCCTGGATCAGATGGATTTACCTTGGAATTTTAACAGACATACAGAGAATATATAATACACATTCTCCTTAAAGGTTTCCAAAAAATAGAAGAGAAGGGAATACTTGTAAACTCATTCTATGAAGCGAACATCACTCTAATACCAAAACCAGGCAAAGACCCTACAAAAAAAAATTACAGACAAATATCCCTGATGAACGTAGATGTAAAAATACTCAACAAAATATTAGCAAACCGAATTAAAAGAATACATCAAAAAGGTCATACACCATTACCAAGTGGGATTCATCCCAGGGATGCAAGGGTGGTATAACATTTGAAAATCCACAATCATCCACCACATCAACAAAATGAAGGACAAAAACCACACGATCATCTCCAAAGATGCTGAAAAAGCATTCAACAAAATTCAACATCCATTCATGATAAAAACACTCAACAAAATGAGCATAGAGGGCAAGTACCTCAACAAAATAAAGGACATATATGATAAACCCACAGCCAATATCACACTGAATAGTGAGAAGCTAAAAGCTTTTCCTCTGAGATCGGGTACAAGACAAGGATGCCCACTCTCCCCACTGTTATTCAACATAGTACTGGAGGTCCTAGCCATGGCAATTAGACAAAACAAGGAAATACAAGGAATCTATATTGGTAAAAAAGAAGTTAAACTGTCACTATTTGCAGATGACATGATATTGTACATAAAAAACCCTAAAGACTCCACTCCAAAACTACTAAAACTAATATCTGAATTCAGCAAAGTTTCAGGATACAAAATTAACACACAGATATCTGTGGCTTTCCTATACACTAACAATGAACAAAAAGAAAGAGAAATCAGGAAAACAATTCCATTCACAATTGCATCAAAAAGAATAAAATACCTAGGAATAAACTTAACCAAGGAAGTGAAATATCTATACCCTGAAAACTATAAGACACTCTTAAGAGAAATTAAAGAGGATACTAACAAATGGAAACTCATCCCATGCTCTTGGCTAGGAAGAACTAATATCGTCAAAATGGCCATCCTGCCCAAAGCAATATACAGATTCAATGCAATCCCTATCAAATTACCAACAGTATTCTCCAATGAACTGGAAACAAATAGTTATAAAATTCATATGGAACCAGCAAAGACCCCGAATAGCCAAAGCAATCCTGAGAAGGAAGAATAAAGTGGAGGGTATCTTGCTCCCTAACTTCAAGCTCTACTATAAAGTCACAGTAATCAAGACAATTTGGTACTGGCACAAGAACAGAGCCACAGACCAGTGGAACAGAATAAAGACTCCAGACATTAACCCAAACATATATGGTCAATTAATATTCAATAAAGGTGCTATGGGCATACAATGGGGAAATGACAGTCTCTTCAACAGATGGTGCTGTCAAAACTGGACAGCTACATGTAAGAGAATGAAACTGGATCAGTGTCTAATTCCATACACAAAAGTAAACTCAAAATGGATCCAAGACCTGAATGTAAGTCATGAAACCATAAACATCTTAGAAAAAAACTGAGGCAAAAATCTCTTGGACATAAACATGATTGACTTCTTCATGAACATATCTCCCAGGGCAAGGGAAACAGAGGCAAAAATGAACAAGTGGGACTATATAAAGCTGAAAAGCTTCTGTACAGCAAAGGACATCATCAATAGAACAAAAGGGTATCCTACAGTATGGGAGAATATATTCATAAATCACAGATCCGATAAAGGGCTGACATCCAAAATATATAAAGAGCTCATGCACCTCAACAAACAAAAAGCAAATAATCCAATTAAAAAATGGGCAGAGGAGCTGAATAGACAATTCTCTAAAGAAGAAATTCAGATGGCCAACAGACACAGGAAAAGATTCTCCACATCGCTAATCATCAGAGAAATGTAAATTATAACCACCATGAGATATCACCTCACACCAGTAAGGATTGCCACCATCCAAAAGACAACAACAAATGTTGGTGAGGTTGTGGAGAAAGAGGAACCCTCTTACACTGCTGGTGGGAATGTAAATTAGTTCAACCATTGCGGAAAGCAGTATAGAGATTCTTTAAAATTCTCATAATAGAAATACCATTTGACCCAGCCATTCCACTTCTAGGAATTTACCCTAAGAATGCAGCAGCCCAGTTTGCAAAATACAGATGCACCCCTATGTTTATCACAGCACTATTTACAATAGTTAAGAAACGGAAACAACCTAAGTGTCCATCAGTAGATGAATGGATAAAGAAGAAGTGGTACATATACACAATGGAATATTACTCAGCTATAAGAAAAAAACAGATCCTACCATTTGCAACAACATCGATGGAGCTAG